AATAATTGCATTATCCAAGAACTAATATTTCAGCCAGGGAACTCTGTTAAGTTACTGGTCAAGATAGGACATCCCAATGACAGATTGGTATATTGGGTTCAATAAACTATTTTAAATAAATCAATATCATGGGTATCATCAGCTTTAAAAAATTCTTTATGAAAACACAATAAAGAAATATTCAGTCATGAGGGAAGCGGTTGCCAGCGGTATAGATATTTACTTATAGTTTGCTTAATTAGGAAAAAATAAACATTGTTGTAATGCTTTTTTCTCTCTATAATATACATGTAAGGGTGTGTGTAAACACGTGTAATTGTATATTTGTACCGAAACGTGAAATATAAAATGTAAATAGAGGAAAACAAGAAAAACAAATGTACCACAGCATCAGCACACGAGAACACAAGTGGCTAAGGCGTCTGCCATTCTGCTACCACTAGCCCTCCACCACTGGGTCGCGGGTTTGAGACCTACGTTGGGCAGTCGCCAGGTACTGACCGTAGATCGGTGGTTTTCCCCCCGGGAACTCCGGCTTTCCTCCTTCACCAAAACCTGGCACGTCCTTAAATGACCATAGCTGTTAATAGGACGTAAAACACAAACAAACAAATCAAAGGATTATGGTATTGTTAAATTCACATTCCGGAGGGTACACGAGGAAAAGGTGAAGTCATAAATGGGAGTACAGAAATCCCATAAAGCACCACATCAGGAAATTTAAAGCATTTCATCATGGTCAGCTTTCTATCTTACTATAATTCAACTTTGTCAATGCTTTCCCTGCGATGTACATTTTCTTATCGTGCACGGTCAGGAACTTATATATTTCACCGTTTTAAGGATATACCTAGTTATGGAAACATGTTTCTACTCATTCAATGTTATAGGGTCAATAAATCAGATCTAAATACATACCTGCCTTTACAGAACTCCGAAACATGTGTTTTGTACCAGTCATCTATCTTTGTGCATCATAAATGTTGTCTAAATCTACTACTTGGCCAACATCTGAATGGGATAACGAAGATTATATTTTTCTATTGCTAACAAAATTATATGATTATATATTAGAACAATTTTGGGACCATATTTTGATGAACACAAATTAAATTCAACTTTACTCATTTCAAATGATATTCCCCATTTCAATCTCGATATTTTTTTATTTTTTATTTTTATTAGCGGTGAGAGGTAAATCGATTCCAGCACCTGTGTATTTTTCGTCAACTGATCATTCCTGGGTCTCCTCATACCGTGTACGGCCAAATTTATTTTCTATTTCATTGCAACTTCTGGTGAAATGACGTCAGCAGCATCATTTCATATTGTACAAACGAAGAATATGCCGAAAATTGATAAATGAGTCATCATCAACTTAATTAAGCTGTAAGTTAATACTATAAACAAGTCAATGAAGGACCAGTGTGTGATAACTACGGGCAGACATGTAACTGGACGCTTTGTCTGTTTATTTCTCGACCATGAGTGAAGTGAGACCCGAGACTAATTAACCAGCAATAAACAGCGCTTAGATTAGAGTAATGTGTGAACTGCGTGAATGTATATAAAATGTGAAAATTGCCAAATGAGATTTACTAATAAACCGAGCCACTGTCCCATGCACTAGTTGAATAATGACGTTATCCAATTACTAATATTTCTACCAGGAAACCATGTCAAGTTAACTCGTCATTTCAACGGCAATCCGAACAGATTAATTTCAGATTTTTTGCTGTTGTCCCCAAACTCTTTTTATATCATCAACATTTCTCAGAACTTAAGCTGACGGTAGCTCCTATATCGATGTTTAGATATATGTATACATACATATCCAGTAGCCCTACTGAAGATAGGCCTAGGACTACTCTGAAAAGGGCAGGCCTATATAATGTCACAGATTAGCAAAAGCTACATGTACGTGACTTTTTTCTGACTTTTGAGGCTTTGCCTTTTTCATATTACATTTGCAGGCGAAGTGAATGTAAAACTCAGATGGATCCTATACGCGCATATATCCGCCCTAAAACCTATAACAATAATGCTAGTAACAAATCAATCTACTATTGGTATTCGGAAGACCTTTAATTGGTGAAAAAAAAAAATACACAAAAATACACCCATTCCGGAAAAAACTGTTGCCGTGTATGGAATTTGAACTCGTGAGCTTTCCCCCATCTTTTTGACACGATATCGATATCCATCTTCACTTTACTAAGACGAATATCGGCCTCGCTTGTGTTCCCGATAACAGTGAGACTGATCAGAACTGTGTTCGGTCGGTCCGGCATTACTAGTCCCTAATACTAATACTGTCTAATAGCCGTTTTAGACTCGTCAATGCCTAAGTTAATGTCGCAAGAGGATGTTGTTTTATGTGAACCTACAGCTGCTTGGAAGAAGTCATGTATCAACTTGTTCTTCGAAGAAGAGGCTGGTTTTTCATTGGCTTTGCACACGTTTCCGCTGTTGATAACTTTAAAAATACTACTAATAAAATCGGCACCAGGTACCCTATGTTAGAACTTCCGGATACGTACTGATTGTCGGCTGTCGGTTATACAGTTAAATTATTAAATTATTTTTCAAACCACACATCATTTAATCAATTTTCTGAACAACAAAATAAATAAATAAATAAAAATGTCGGAGTATTGCTGCATTTGTTTAATAGTCAAGAGAATTTTTGAATTTTTTTTTTTTATAATGAACACGCAACCCTCCTCTTAATTCTCTTCTGAGAAGGAGACGGATGCTGGCGGTTTTAGTAGATAGTTGTGGTTTGCTTTAGGTTAACTCATACATTACCGACAGATTTATCTATGATATACATGTTGAGGGTGTGTATTTCCACGTGACTGACAGATTTATCTATGCTATACATGTTGAGGGTGTGTATTTCCAGGTGATCGTCAATTTGCTTATATCTTGTCTTATGCATTTGTACTGAAATGTAAAAAGTTAAAAGTAACACAGCGTCAACACATAAAAACACCAACATACAATGAAACGACGTCAAACAAAAACAATAGGTCTTGAACCGGTTGAAAAAAATAAAATTGAACGAAGCGTAGGCGTGTCCCTATATCCCTCGTCAGTTCCATGCGATTATGTCAGGTTAACAACCGTCCCCTAAAGGGAGCCAGTCTTACTAGTTTACAGATGTGTAGATCACGGTCACGTTACAGAATACTTATTGATCATAGATTCAATGGTGACATGTAAAATGTATATGCCGGGGAGGGCCAGTGTGTTACTGTCAGGGAAAAGAGAGTTATATCACGTCGATCATATAATTTAGTTGAGTAAGGGGCAAATGTTTTCTTTCAGGATTAAACGGCACTTTTTTTCCCCAATTTCATGTTGGTATGAACGCAAATCGGTTACATACCTACCACATGACCAGTTTGCGTTCATACCGCATGGACATTGAAAAGAATCCCACTCAATCCTTAGGTTTTCATTCTATTTTTTTCATCATTATTGACTTACAGATGTTCCCTTATATTTTCGATTTTGAAGTGTTTGTGTCGTCAGTGAAAACGAGATTCCTTGATCAATCTAAAATGATTGTTTCTAGCGGTTGTCTCAAATTAATCAAGGTTGGAAGAGGAATTACAAAATGATGCTGATCCAATAGCTTGCCTAGCCCTATAAACGCAATTTCTTATGGAAATGTTTACAGGGGAACTTGCAGTGGAAGTGAAATTGTGACCCAACACCTTCTACAGTCAGTTCCATTTACAAGGGCGTCATATGTTCATGAAACGGCCGCCCAGTCCTTGCTGAATGTACTTATGGCAACGAAATACCCTTCAACATCATTACCTGTTTTGTTACAGATATTGTATTACATAGAACCTGTGAACATAAATGGGACAGGGTAAGGCCAAAGGCGGGTAGCTGTAAAGCACTTTATACAAGTATTATCAGCTTTATGACAGTGTATTTCTACTTCTCGTCAAGTTTTATGTGTGCCTCTCTATTTGTCCCCTTCAAAATTATAATCTTTTTTGAACTTTGTCAATTTTACCAAGGGCCTTTTCGTTTAAGCGGAACAACCGGTTTGACCGTTTATAAATGTTACAAGTTCGGGTGTAAATCCTGGCGGACCTGAAAGTGTTTATGAAGCCCTTGCAAGGCTTTGTCAAGGCTCGCCTGAAAGCAGCATCAGACTACTAGGTCCGACCTTATTTAATAAACGAACAACTGTGGTCCGACTGGTTTGCGGCCAAAGTCAAGAAATCTATCATCTATGAGCAAAACACGGTTTGTTTTGTACAAGTTACTTCTCTTTGTATGTAATTTCTCGTCCTTCATGGGGGTAAACGATTAAAACAAACCTTGATCCTTTTAAAGTACAGCTTTACACTCAATAATCCTCCAACATGTGTAAGGGTAGGCACCAACTACATTGTAACAACACATCAACACCTTGTCCCGGTGATGTTTTTATCTAAATAGGGTTACAATCTGTGAAACCTTTTAGGAGGAGTAATTAATATAAGGGTTTGAAGCAAAAATGCCCTAAATTCACATTTAGTCCTCAGGGACACACAACTTGAACATTACAGCATTCTTCCCCTTTATTACATGTACAGCCATTCTGGAGTGGGCTTTAGGAGAATTAACTACATATCTTAACCCTTTTAATAAATTGGCTCCAGAGGGTCATACTACTTTTACTGATAATGATCACTTTGCCCCATCGACGTTTCAGACTGAAGATGGTGACAAACTGTACAAGATAATATAAGGATGAGAAGGCTTTTGAAAACTAAATTACCTAATTAAGCACTTTTTTGGATGATTATCTTTGTCAGGGATTTAACATCCTCAAAACTTCTAAATTCATATGAAGACTTATCATGACAGCAAATGTTATTATAAAGCGTGTGAATACATGTTTTTCTAGCGAAGGGCAAGTATCTGATTGTGCCAAAGTTTCCTGCTGGTATACAGCATCCTGTGTTATGAAAATTCAGGAGACAAAAACCATAAAGTGTTGTGAAGTTTTATTCTTCAACTTTACACCAAAACTCTGACATCTGGTCTTCTACTTCAGCTTCTTCTTGGGGCGGATGTTGTTGGTGTGACCACACTTCCTCTTACGGCAGTTGGTGGCCCTGGGATGCAGACGAGCGTAACATCTACAATAAAGATAATCGATAAAGTAACAGATAAACAGCATGACCATAAACCAGTGCTTGGCAAGCAGCCTTTCAGAAATCACACTGATTAGGATCTTGGTATATGTCGAAAACAGAAAACTATATTTTAACATATCTTCAGAAAATGTTGAAAACAGAAAGCTGTATTTTAACATATCTTCAGAAAATGTTGAAAACAGAAAGCTATATTTAAACATAGCCTCAGAAAAATTGTTCCTTAAAGAATATAAAGCAGACATTATTTTTTGTTTCCAAAGGATATTTAATAAAAAAAATATCTACAAGGGTCACTGAAGTAAGAGGCACTGAAATGCTATAACCAGGGCCGAGTGAAGATTCGGTGACAGACAGCAGGGTTGTCCATGATCACATTAGTCTGTACTTACTTGCGGCAGATCATCTTGTCACAGTTGTACTTGGAGGCCAGGATCCTCAAACTGGGCTCAATGATTCCTCCCCTCAAACGGAGCACCAAATGGAGGGTGGACTCTGTAAAACAATAGTTATGTGGAATTAAGAGAAAACAGTTTTGTTAGCTGTAAGTTACAGGCAAAAAATACACATGTTACCCGTTACAAAATGTACAGGGACCCAATATCCTGTCTTCCACTGCATTGGTTTAAAATTGAGATACAAACTTGCAAGATAGACACTTTAATCTCGAGTTTATACAAAGGTTTACAGCAAATATTCTGGAAAGAAAGTGATTGTTGAAAACTGTTTATCTTAGACCAGGTTCGATTTACCTGGTGAAAAAAGTTTACCAAGCGAAAGTAATGATAATCTAAGCAAGTTGCAAATATACTTGTTTTTGTACCCATTTTAATTTGTTGGGAGTTGCTTCCCTTCTACCTGTATACTGTATATGAAGTATCTGAAACTCCAACTTGACATGAAAGAACTTGTAAAAACAATTTCACACATTTTTAAAACCAGCAAAGCTGCCACCTTTGGTCAATTATAAATTATTAATCAACACTACATATACTATATGTTTGTATTTTTTAGTGCCTGAATAACACTACATTGTGCACGTGAAGGTTGACCAGACTTCTGGTGGTTTGGGAACAGTCCTATGGGACTAGAAAGCTTTGTACAGGCCATTGTGGCAGTAGTCCAAGACAACTGTCTCAGTTTTGACTGAACAGGAAGGTAAAGATACTCAAATAAATACCAATTAATTTGTTACCACCAGGTGACCTTCAGCTGAATAATCCATAGGCACCTGTCTAACGTAAAAGCCACATGGTTTCCCTACCTAATGTAGTTTTAGAGTGCCTACTCTTATATATCTTTTTTTTGCTACTTTTAGACAAGCAGAATTAGAACGAAAATGTTAACCTACATACTCTTTGTTTTTATTTGTAAGGCTTTATTGGGCCAAAAAAAACTAAAGGGTTTTACAAATCCCTTTAGCAATTCCTAGAACAGGGCAAAATGAGGTACAGTGTGGTTATTGAAGATTTCTTGAATCTGTTCATTTGGTAATGGGGAAAAATCTCTGGTGGATGTCTTGTGTGACCATTACCAACGCACTTAAATTCTTTCTGTCAATTCGTCTGAAATTGCAGCCAAAAAAGAGACATCAAATGATTTCCAAACACAGCTGGTGGCACTTACCCTTCTGGATGTTGTAGTCGGACAGGGTGCGGCCATCCTCCAACTGTTTACCGGCAAAGATCAACCTCTGCTGATCTGGGGGAATGCCTGAAAAATAAACAGTCGTTTGATTCTTCACGAACTTTGAGACTTTCCTACGCAACAAACATCCTTGGTTATCTTTCATGCTTTGATAAGATTCCTGGATTAATGTTTTTGTAACACTGCATTATATCAATGTCAACAGATATTTTGTGGGATGTATTTTGACGAATCCCACTACATTGTAAATGAGAAATCTGCACAAGTCTCAAGTAACATGGTGGAGACAAATTTCAAAGTAGGTGAAGTCCAGGAGTTCACTGGTCAGTTTAACACGGTCTTTTCTCACATAATGTACACAATAAGGTGACCCTATTTTATAATAATAGGGGTGTCGCAATATGTCAAGAGTGTATCACAACATACTGCAATACCGAATGAATATATTGCGATACGTATCCCGATATATTGTCAGAGAAAACATGTGCTCAATTTTACAAGTTGTCAGAATGTTATCAAACTTAATCATATATAATATGGATCACATATATTTAAGATTTTTGTCAAACCAACCATCGATTACAAAACTTGAACTAATTCCCAACACCATTAAAAAGGCTGTTTTATGCTTATTGGCACATCTGTTAGAATTTGTAGTAATTTGGAAAGTGAAAACACCAAGCAGAATGAGATACATAAAAATAAGCTTTTGAAAAAATATTGCAATACAGCAATATTTCATCTCTGTACTGTGGTACGATATATATACCTGTGTATTGCATCATACCTGTTTTCCGATATATTTTGACAGCCCTACTATTTAAACATTCACCCCACTGGCATGGATGGACATGGCAACCATAATGAACAATTTCTTATCTATATTTATAATTTTTTGTTTGGAAGTTATTTTTGCAAATGTCCAATTCAAATGGGGAATAGTACCCCCCCCCCCCCCCCCCCCCCCAAACATTAAAATAATAGTAAAATAATTAAAGGATGCATGCAATATATACACTGTAAAATAAACTTTGGCAAACAAAGAATTATTAAATTTTGATACAATATCTTTAAAGGGAGACATTTCCAAATGTCATGTACAACATGCATGGCATAGAATGATACTACCCCCTACCATCTCCGACTAATTCCCTGGACCCTATTCATCACAAGGTCCAAGCTTGTTGGTTAACCTGATATCTATAACACACCTTCCTTGTCCTGAATCTTGGCCTTGACATTCTCAATCGAGTCGGAGGGCTCGACCTCGAGGGTGATGGTTTTACCCGTTAGGGTCTTCACGAAGATCTGCATCCTGGCTTTATGTCAGATCTGAAATAAAGGATTTACAATGAATTTCGATACAGTGACGATATCAACTTTGGATAAATTTAAGAGGAACTATGTCATGTGCAGTAAGGGTACCTGCCAATTGATATTTTTTATACAATGTAGAAGTTATTCTAAGACCATTTTAAACAGCAAATTTATATATCCAAGATTTCCCCATAAAATACACGTCAGGGTTTACACTCTGAACTAAAGAGAACCTGTTTGAAAACATGTAAAAAAAAACAGATATTTGAAATATGTGTTCACAAATATATTTGCTTAGTTACTGAAATCAAGTGTCAATGGAAATCTTCAAACATGCATTACAGAACTTAACAAGTTGGTTGAAATCCATTTTAATATTGTAAACCTAAAAAATAGCAAACGATTTGGTCTATTCCCATCTACCAGTACCCCTACCCAACAATGGTTTGCAAGAGTTGATTATAATCAGCAAAACTATTCACAGGGGGGAAAAATGAAATTTTCAAATCCAGCTGTTTTAAATGATAACTTCATGTGGTGAATAGATCAGCTATAGACGAAAGGTAATTATTAGTACAGGGATAATCCTGGAGAGGGTCATCGACCCATCAAAACTGATATTGACTCTTCCTAGTTTCAATTTTCTTTTAATTTTACATAGAACAACCCCTGTTTATTTTGATATTGACTAAAAAATTGTTGAAAATGACCCACTTCTCTCAAATTCATGGATTTTCCCTGTTGGTATGCCTGATGTCTAATTACTAAAGTATAAGCTGTGATAACGCAGCTTTCTGACGACAAGAGATTTTTTTTTATATATTGCGCCGGCCGAGGCAGAGGAGGCCGGGTATTAATATTAGTACTACTAAAGTATCACTGGAGTGGACGTATATTACATTGTATCCTTTAACCAGAGCCCGATGTAACAATGAAATTATGTTGTGATATTTGATTGGATGTTTCCTTTGATGCTGTAATATAACAAAAACAATCGGCTTGTTTTCTATTCGAACCATAAAAATTATAAAAAAATACTTAAATGTTTTTTTCTGTTGCTGCATCGTGTCTATCAATACAAGAAATTCTTCATATCTAACGATCATGGTAATTCTAAGTAGGTACTTATTCAAATCAACATGTAGGAACATAGACATTAACATTGGTCCCTACTTCAGACTGAAGAAACCCATGTGTATTCACTTCTCACACGAGAAGTAGAAGTGAATACACATCTAACATACTGCCGTGACGTCACTCTGGATACTTTCACGATCTACTGTACATTCTGGCTTCATGATCACTCAAATATATACTAATCAATTTAGAAAATAAGCTAGAAATAAGCAAAAAGCCCTTCTTAATTGTTTATATTGTATTCATACTGACATAGAACACATCGTGAACGATTTTTTCTCCGGTATGTTTCCGAGTATCACCACGACACGAGGTGCATGAATTAGCGAAAATCTAAACTCGACATTCTATGAAAAAACACGTATACTGCTGGTCTTTATCGATTAGAATTACTTCATGGCGTACTTAGATATGCGTATACAATAATACTACTACTATTAATCGACTGAAATGAGAAGAAATCGCTAAATTTCATCCTGAATTTTCAAGCGCATGGGGGCCGCCATCTTACCTTCACAGAAAGGACGAAACGAGACGAGCCATGTGACTTTTCGTTACCGGTATCCCCGCTAGATGGCAGCTTTATCAATGAATTTTCCACGCATAACCCATGATTGACCCTAAATCACATGTAAATAGACCAAAGGTCATGTAACAGTAAATGACAATGTGATTGGTTCTTTGTATCTGAGGCTGAATGTTACAAAGCCGATGATTGGACAATTAAGATCAAATACTAGCGCGCACCTTGCAGTCACTGCAATGGATATTGAACATCCAGCGGTGTTTCAAGCTGTATATTCGTCTATTGTCTCGTTGTTTTGGACGTATACATCAAATGTTCTCAGTGTCGTATGGATATAATTAATCCAAATTGGAAACGGATGCCATGATTTTTGGACCAATATGTTATTTTCTTGTGATTTTACTGTTTTCTTCATTTGGCCGGCCGCCTGGACTTGGTAAGTGTCAAATTTATTTTCCATGTGTGTGCTGTCAAATTCCATGTGCAATGTAAACAAGTGTTATGATCATAATCCAATAACGGACCGGCGCGCAAATGTCACTGTCAAAAAATGGATAATTTATTTTCTTGTCCCTTTTCTGCCGGTGTCACAAGCGGTAGATATCATTTAATGTGTATTTAGCTTACATCATATAAATATTAGGTATCAAACAGGCGCACTCTATGGGGTATATTTTTCCCGTATCGTTAAACGCCCCGGGTATACATTTTATTGCCGATGCTGGATTACCGGCAATGCGCTAATTTTTTTATTGTACCAATTTGGCCTAATTACATCCGCCAATGTACCTTAGGGTACCGGCAGCTTTTATGATCGCGCGGGCACGAAACTGTGCCTAATTAATATTTCAACAGCAGCACTAGTGCAAATAAAAGAAAATGACAATTAGCAGTGTCTATAAAAATATTGCGCTTTTTTTAATTGTTTTAAAAGTACTAGATATAGAATAGGACCTGCTTAGGTAAAGGTACAGTAATCCTGGCTATATCTACACACAGATGCAGGCCTACTATCACTGTTCTGCTCAAGTGTGATGTCTCCAATACTCCGATAGCAGCAATCTGTTCAAACTATTCCACAGCCTGGAATCCACTCCCACAGTACTTGAGACAAGATTATTGCACACACGTTCAGTAGAATCCAGACAATTATATTAATGCTTACATGTAGCTCCCAATTAAACATTGGAGTGGTGAATAATACTGAATATATATACTGCCATTTTGATTATTTCTTAAAATGACTAAATTGGAATACAATATATAGTTTAAGATACTATGGAAAAAGAAATGTAGTCATGTTCACCTTGTATATAGTTAAACAGGCTACACTACACTTTTTGGCGGTAATGGTTTTGATTGCTTAATTATGGTATAATTTAACTAACTCACCAAGTTGAATGCTATAATATGTTATCAGCAATTTAAGAGTTTAATATACAGTAACAGTAACCAGCTTTTTGGGTGGGAGGTATTGGTTTTAATCAATGACTTAATTAACATGAAATGCAGCATTAAAGAAATTCAGGAAGTTGGTGCCATTTTAACCTTCAGAATTTTTGATGGATACAGAGTTTTGGGAGATGTTGGTTTTGAAGTATTGAGCTGACATGCTTTTAAAACCGACTGAATACTGTCATTTTGATCATCAGATTTTTTTATGGCTACGACTAGACTTAATGCTTTTAGGAGCTGTTAGCTTAGAGGACCTGCATTGACTTCATTAACATACATGTACATTTGAAACACCTGGGAAGTTGAATGGTGTCATTTTGACCATCAGACTCTTTGATATTCAGTATTAAATGTTTTTTGAGGTTTTTGGTTTAAAGCACATTTTGCCTGCAGAATGGAGTCATTTTGACCATCAGTCTTTTTGATATTAATGAATTAAATGTTTTTTGGAGTTTTTCGGTTTAAAGCACATTTTGCCCACCAGACGTTTTTTTGAAGGAGATAGTTGATCAGCATGCAGACAGACGTTTTGGTGAGATATGAGTTGTAAATTAATGGGAAATGCAAAAAGACATGATAATATATATATAACTACATATGCATATAAATGGTTTTGAAAGTAAAATATTGTCTTGGTGATTATAAGCTTTTTCATTGAATACAAATGTATAATGTTACATCGTGCACATCAATAGAGGTCATGCTAAAGGGTACATCTGATCTGTACTGTAAAGGTCATTATACTGAAATGATCAACGAGAAAAAGTTCAGGGAAATCATTGCTGTCCGTGGTAAATACGGTCTTAATTGGTCGTTAAATTTACCTGGTAATTTAAAACGAATTCATTCACCAACATTAAATTGACAGCTATATATATTGTCACTGACAGGAGTATGTAACACTTTGTTAGCTATAGCTATATATATATATATATATATGTATAGAAAAAATAAAATTAACGACCGACTAAAAAGCTAGCTGCTTTCACCCTTCAGAGGGCTCTTCAGGTTTGTGAAGGGTTTGTGAAGGGTTTGTGAAGGGTGAAAACATCTAGTTTTTTAGTCGGTCGTTAATTTTATTTTTTCTATATTTACTTCCTTCACATGGACATTTAATCACTTTTTATTATATATATATATATATATATGGGGTAAAGAAGTAATTCCAACAGTGTGGACAAGTTTAGGTTGTCAAATATATATATAGGTATATATAGGATCTTACGACTGACAGGAGTCATTGGGGAAAACAAAAAACCATGTAAACATACTGTACAAGTCCGCTAATTAAGTGGACTAGTACGAATGTTTGATTTAAAAAAAAAACATTTTTTTTCTTTTTTCTTTTTCTGCTTATTGAAGAATAACATGTTGTACTGACAAAAATGGTAAAAAATGTGTGTTGACTACTGTCTCCACAGTATCCAGCTTCGTTACCCAAACAGTTGTAGTGATGTCATAGTCAACACTACTATGATGTCACAGTCCGTGTTCCCACTCAATCTTAGATTTAAGGATATATTTAATTTATTTTTAAGACTCTTTACCCCCAGGTCCTTAAAGTTTTATGGACAGTCTTTGAAAACTGGGGGTACAGCCAACTGTTTTTGGGGGATATCAAATCCCCATTTAATGGTTTCGGGAACACTGGTTTAAGGTGCTTTAGTCCCTGTACAGTGTATGGTTTTGTGGTTTTCTTTTATGGAGTAAGAAAATATTGACCAACAATGATATTTCGTTATTTTGCAAAAAAATAATGAAAGCAACAAAGTCATTAACCCTTTCATCCCTATATAACTTTTGTAGACTCTACCACACATTGATCTGGATGAGTCCAACCTTCTGCAGTGATGAAAGGGTTGAGGGGTACAAAGTTAAACCACTTAAATCTGACAACTGTGATCTTGGAACCAAAAATGGTGGAATTAAAGTGACTAGATTACAAATGTAATTTTCAATGTTCAAAGAAAAGTAATGAAGTACTCTTAAAAATAGAAGGAGGTATCAGGATTATTATTATTAGACAATATGTGTATAGCACCCTTGTATCTGATCTCACAGAACTTACTATATGATGCACTTAACGTTCAAGAGATGATGGCCATATCTTCATTCAACACAGCCAGGAGAGTAGCGGAACAGCCTCAAACAAGGACATCTTACCATCTGATATCCTTTAGTATCACACAGTATGTGTAGGTGAATCCTGGGGGTGGTATACATGTCCTTCTTGTTATGGGTCTGTGCTTCTAAAGGTTCATAAAATTTATGCTATCATGTCATAGATCTGAATACAACAGCAATTAAAGCACATAGTATATATGTACCTAACCTAAAAACTGTGTAATACTCTACACCACAAACAGAGTTGATAACAAGGGCAAAGTGTCTTCCTACAGGCGTGAGACACAAGTGTCTTCATCCAGGAGTGAGACACAAGTGTCTTCCTTCAGGCGTGAGACACAAGTGTCTTCCTCCAGGAGTGAGACACAAGCACAAGAAAGCTAGTTTTGAAATTAAAATGTTTAAAAATTTAGAATTAAGAATTTTGTATTTTGTCAATTTTTAAATTTGCAGGATCTGATCCTGTGTAATCTTATAAGGTCCATAATATAAGCTGACACGGCCAACTGTACATGTGTGTGGATTGATCAGGCATTATATATATATGTTCAGTTCTACCGAAAGGCAGAAAACAAAGCCGTGTCGAAATGGGTTGAAGTGTTCCAGAAATTACTAATCAAATAGTTCATAAATCATCAAAACAGTCTGAAGATATTATTGATTGTTAAAGATATTTTAATCTAAAAATAATTATGCATTCCGAATCATTTTCTATTGTTTCGATTTATTAGAAATGTTTTAAAATGAATAAAGATTTGTTCTGAACGATTAAAGAATAGCTAAAAAGATGGAAGATTTGTTCAGAAAAATCGAATATTGTAATAAATCAAAAACCTGTTTTGATTAAAGCTTGTTTTAGATTACTAATGAATTTTCCCCTAGCAGGAGTTATGAGTGATTTAATTGAAAAAGATGATTAAAACTGATATGAAGATGGAGTTTGTTCTGCTTCACTTTTGAGAATTTGAGAAGCAAATGTACAGTGGATTTAGCTGTCCAGTTCTTATTCCGAGTCGGGGAGAAAGAACTTTCCGTTCCTTTTTACTGTAATAAGGAAATTTCTGCCAGAAATCCAGAAATATGTATAAATCTATATGTTTGAAAGTCTAGCATCGACTTCCCATGAGAAACTTATGTAAATAACAAATGTGTTGGCTAATATATAAAATGTACGCTGTTATTCCTCAGCGCGACATTATATCATTTTAGAATCCTGTAACAAAGCATATTTTTGCATAAATTTCACCACCTAATAAAAGCTTTTTTGCCAGATTTGTTATAGAGTGATAACTGTATAGAGGTACCAAATGGCACTGAGGTTGTGATAATATTCAAAATGTCTGACCTGATCAGCCTGCATAAAATTGTTCTTGTTCAAATGAATAGAAGTGTTGTCAATTACATTGCAAGTCATAAAACGAAGCAAGACTTATTTCAGGCTCTTTCTTAAATATTATATCCCCAATTTGAATAAAAAAAAAAAATTATCTGGAAAAGGGCTTCGGAAATCCTAGAATTAAAAAAGAAAATATAGAAGGAAAACGGAGAAAAATTGCTTTAATAAGATGTTCAATTCCCATAAAACTGTCAATTTTTCCCAACTCAAGGAAGTTGGTTATTCCCAAAGTACCTTGGAAATTGAGGAAGTGTTTTGACAGGTGAAAGTTTAAAGTTGGACCGATATCATGATAACATGATGTTCTGCTTTGAATTTCCTATTTCAAACCAAGCAATAAGTTACAAGGTCATTTGAACTTGGTGAACATGTTCTCAGAAAGAAGGTACAGTAGCTGTTCCAAGTTAACTCAGTGGTACTCGCACATGTCCGTCTAGTTTAGGGGGTTAACTCAGTGGTAC